AGTCCCTGTATAAATTCAATCAATTCTATTGTGGTTCAGTGATGACAGTCTGGTAACTGATAGGCAGGTTGGTCTTGTCAGCATGTCTGGTTACTATCCAGGCTACTGAATTTGTCCTGAACTGCCAAGGCCACCTCCTGTCTTAAGATTCAGGAGCGAGAGAATGGTGGCGGTGGTGGGTGTGTTCAGTTCACTTCCGTCTTCAGCCAGCGACCCAATCCAGCAGCCTCTCCATCAGCCGTCAGTTAATAGGTGACCTAGGTACAATATTAGCCATCTTTTTTAGCATATTCCATGTGATACAGTCCATTTGCATTATGGAGCAAGAAATCCTTTTGTAGAAAGAGAATGTAAATAGAAGGCCAATTATCCCCTTTGTCTTTCATTCTCTCTCTCTTGTGTTGCACTTGCAACACAAGATGAGATGCTTGGCTTCCCTTGCTTGAATGACCCATGGTCAGACAGGAGACAAACCAGCTGTTAAAAAAACTTCCAAAAAAAAAATTATAAATGCCATAACTGAGTTGGGCTGTTTCCAGCCTCAGAATTTGACAAGATACCTGGACATCAGCCTATTGCCACAGGTGCCAGAGAAGTCACAGGTACCGTGAGTGCAAGCCACAACTCACCAGAACCTGAAGTGCCCACCTTCTTTTTGCCATGATTTTATATATTTCTTGTACCTTATTGGTAAAATACCTGTAAATGGTTCACTGTCAAAGTCCAAACAGATTTAATTCAGAATGTTAGGGATGGGGGAAAGAAATCCAAACTTGGTTGAACTTAGCAAGGAATAGTTGGCCCTTGAATCTTGTTAGACTTAAGTATATAATCATGCAATGTACGATAAAGCTGCTAGGCAGACTTTTCCTCTCCTCTTAGGAAGCTGAATCGGGAGAGATGAGCATATCAGCATAATTACAGAGCATGCTCCCATACTGTGATAGGACTATATGTAGCCACCTATACCTAAGGCAAGGTTGGAACCCACCATTACTTGTGCTGTGAAAGTATTTAATTCTTTCAAATTTCTTAATAATTCCCAGAATGAGATTCTACAAAGCTGGGAAGCTACACGAGAATGTATTTATCATTTTCTGGATTGCTTCCGCAGATAAAAAGTGGAGGAAAAAAGAAATCATTTGTCCTGTATCAGATAGACTACTCTTGTCCATGAAAGCTCTATCAAAGATTGTCAAATTTTACTTTCGCCTTCCCTGTTTCACCCTGATTAGATTCCATGTTAAGGGACAAAAATGTAATTCAATAAAATTGTTGTGAATGATATGTTTAGGATTTTAAAAGATAGGCTTCACTGACCAACAGTGAGCCAACATTTCTGGAATGCCTTTTGTCTCAGGCAGATGATATAGGAATCACTTCTCAGGCAAATGTTTGTAAGCAGGAAAAAAAATGGTTAAAAGGAACAGGAAATAAAAACCCTGCAACCCTCTTTTCCACTTTAGATACAAGTCCAAGGACAGAATGAGATTTGTGTCACTTGAAATATTGTGCCAAGCAGTTAATCTTAACTATATCCTTTGGGTCTTTTGCAGTAAGGAAGAAATCACACTCAGACGTTACCAAGGTGTTCAAAAAAAAAAAAAAAAAAATCTCCAAAACAATCAGCCACAAACATAATGCAGATGTTTCTTAATTTAAGAAAGGGAGAATAGAAAATAATTCCTTCAGAAAAGTACTCAAATACTATGTAACCAGGGAGTTAGCAAAACAATAACAACAACAACAACAACAACAAAATTACAGACAGAGACAGACATTTTGAGCTAATAACAGATTTCTTACACCCACTTTCATTCCTCCCTCTTTGTCTCACATATTCCAGTTAAAAAAGGTTGGGGGCAAGGAATGCATTTTTTTCTTCCTGGTAATGTTCAAAAGAGGTTTTCCCTCTCTTGTCACCTTCAAAACTATAGGCACCTAAAGAACTACATAGCTTTCAATGAGTTTCTATCGATAAACTATCTACTTAACTCATTAAGTCTTTCACACAAAATAAAAACATCAAAGTTCTCACCTTTCATCCTGATCATGCATAAAACTCCATACTTTGTCTTTCAATCTCTCTTTCTCTCTCTCTCTTGTGTTGCACTTGCATCCCCACTAGACATAAACAATTTCCAAATACTTCAACATTTTCTCCAGGCTAAGCAATCATTATTATTTTCAGGGAGCTTTTTCACAAGCCAATGTGAGAAGATTTCCTTTTTCTGGTCTCCAGCTGGGAAGCAGACCTTCAGCTCAGATGGAAGAAATGACAGAGAATGAAGCAAACTGCCAGAAAGTAGATTTATTTACAGAAACCAGGCACCATACAATACAGCAGAGGTTCCTGGACTAGCTAGTGAGTTCCCAAGGTGAAGAGATTTGCCTTTTATACCCCTAAAGTTATTGAAATTATGATTTGACTTCTGAAAGGTTTTTTGTTAAATTAATTCTATCTAGTTTGTGTCTGCTCTTGGCCGGTAGCGATTAATATTGTCTCCAGGAAGGATTCTTTGTTCATGTAAATATGTTTCTATATGGTTCAGGTCTTGTTTTAGTGTTGCAAAAACCTATTGATGTATCTTAATTGTTGCGCTGAGACAGGCGTCCGGGTTTTCTTTCTCTCGGGGATGTTTCTTTTTGTTTTGGCAGTTTGCCCAGAATAGCTTGGGGGAGGGGGAGTAAGGATGCGAGACAGAAAAAACTTCGGTCTTTTTAAATTTGGTTTGACTGCACCCCCCCTTTCTGGGTTCATCTACATTTGAGATAGCAGTTTTAAGAGTCTGGGTTCCCTTTGTGATATTTAATTATAAGATTCCTTTTATTTAAAAGGAAATTGCTCACTTGTTTTGGGGTCTTAACTAATTCTAAAATGTTCTCTCTTGGCGCCAATGATTAGTCATCTCTCACCAATAAGTTCCAATTTCCAATTTTATTTATTACTATTACGAAGACGATGACGATTATGCCGATGCCTTGTTGTTTTGTATATTATTATCAGAGGGTCTGCTCCCCCTCTCAGGTCTTAGAAATGATTCAACATAAACATACAAACACACGCCATTTAAAATCCTTTCCAGGTCTGTGAAAGTTTTGTCCCTTTAAATTTCCACCCTTTCCCCCCCCATGGGACAACTTGTAGCTTGTTCTCCAGACAGTGGGGGGGGGTCCATAAAAATGTGATGGGGGGGCGCTGACCACTGCCCATCTGTTCCCCACTTGCTATAACCCAAGCTGAGAAGCCCAATTTTTAATTTGTTGGCTGGCCAAACATGTCAACATTTTTTTCCCTTTCTTTCTTTCTTTCTTTCTTTCTTTCTTTCTTTCTTTCTTTCTTTCTTTCTTTCTTTCTTTCTTTCTTTCTTTCTTTCTTTTGTTTTGTGTTGCAGCTACCCAGTTGGGATTATTCATGGGTAAAGAATTTTATTTATGTAAACATATTCAAAGATACTTTCAGATGACCATACATGTGTACACAATTAAAACAAGTCCTATCTCCTTTTCTATTCAATTTAATTCAATTCCAATCCTGCTAGCTTCAAAAAAAAAATTGTTATGCGAACACATCAACAGAACAGGTCAGATCCAAATTATCTGCGTATTTGATATTCTGACTTCCCATTCAGACAGGCTACACTTACCTGCTGAATCCCAGGTGGGAAGAACAACAAAAATTTTCTTTCTTTATGGCTTTCCATGCCAAGTGGGTCAAATTGTTTTACTATCCAGGAGATTTCCATCTCTCCAGGGTCAACTAATGAACCTTATTTCATTCATTAGAATATCACTGGACTCGCAAGATTTACCTCTCTCTAATATCCCTGTTGCCTCCAGGGCTCCAGTTAAACCCTGTTGAGCACTATGCAACATACCAATGTAATGATCAGCTTGTCTCTCATCAGGAGATAAGACACAAACAGTCTATCTCCTCTCTTTACTTTACTTTTCTTTGTTCTTTTTTCCCCAACAAAAATCCACTTGCTATTTTACAAAAGACACTATAAAATATCCAAGATCTCCCTTGTCATAAAATGAGAGTATTCTAACTCTCTCTTTTCCTAGTTATCAAGCCAAATATGTACAGTACACCATCAACAAAAATAATCACAATGATTATAACCAGTACGATAGCAGCCACCGAAAAGTTACAGCCTTTACACATCCAAAAGGCTTGGCTCATAGACAAACACACTCTTCTCCCTTCCTGGCAGGGCATGAGAATCCGGGTAGCCAGGGGGCAGGGAAGAAAAAGGAAAACTCCCACATTCTTTCAAGCAAGCCTATTTCCACAAACAATAAGTTTAACACTGCTAGCCACACAATTTCAAGCTTTTAAATATCACAAACAAATCTTATAACGCGGCCTCATGGGGCACATGTGCCTTCACTGTCCCACTGGCTTTCCACTGTCCTAGGTTAATGGCCAAAACCTGACAAGGCAGTGGGGCCATCTTGAACAGTGTTGAGTGCACAGCCCTGGTTATAGCCAGATATAAGACGGGTTCACACATTCAATATTATTCACTCTCACCTTTCACACCTTTCACATCCCAGTTTTCAATATTATTCACTTCACTTCAATATTCAATTCAATTAAATGTTACTCAGTTCAATATTATTTGCTTTTACCTTTATGTGCTCTTGCTCCCCATAAAGCCAAGACTCTGGTCTATAGACTAGTGCATGCACTCTTGCTTATTAGGGTAACAGGGGAACCGTTCCTGCCTATTTTAGCTTGACATTGTATTTTGCCCAAATACAAGCCAAGAACCCTGCTCACTGCGACAATTATGTTATAAAATGAATGAGTCAAGCTCATTCAAGATAAAGTTTAATAATAGTTCTTTTATTCTTGTATTATTTGCACAGAAAAAAAGTCAGGTGCTCAATCATAGTTGACTAATACATGTTACTTGTTACTTTTTTTCTTATACAGTGTGTTACAACAACTTAGTTACCCAATTAGGTTAAACAACATTACTTTTTACCCAACTAGGCTAAAGAAAGAATGAATAAGCATCTGCTCAACTAGCTACTCAGGTTGCTGTCAAAGATTGTGCCCAACTAGGCTAATCAAATAACTGTTCCCAACAAGGATCCTCAAGTTGCTGTAAGTATTGCTGTCCAACTAGGCTACTCATTCATACAATCAATATTTACAAACAACAACAGTTGGCCAGGCTGTGTTAGAGTGGATTGGGAATTAGAATTCAGGGCATCTTCTCCTCCCCATAGAGGTCTCGCTAAGGTTTTTGGGGTGGGAATCTTTTGGCAAGGAACAAAGTGCACTTATTTGGAAAACAGGTCTGTATCCACCCAGGTGACAGTGTTTCCATTGCTTTCTGGTAATTCCACTATAAAATCCATGGATATTTCTTTCCAGAGGACTGTGGGATTCACCACTGGTTGTAACAGTCTGGGCAATTTCTGTTGCAATCTCTTAGCAGCTGCACAAGTTGGGCAGCTGGCCACACTTTTAAGGCTTGCACATTTTTGTGGTCCGTCCAGACCTAAAAGGGGATTTTATTCCCTTCAAGGAAATGGCGCCACATAAGTAACGACCATCTCACAGCGTATGCCTCTTTTTCCCACATGTCCCAGTGCTGTTCTGTTTCGGTCAGTTTCCTGGATGTATACGCGCATGGTTGCAATACCCCTTCGTCATTTTCTTGTAATAGTACAGCCCCCACTGCCACATCGCTTGTGTCTTCCTGTATTACAAAAGATTTATCCATGTCTGGGTGCCTCATTACGGGTTTGGCAGAAAAAAGTCTTTTTAGCCACTTGAACGCCACTTGGCATTCCATTATCCATTTTAGCGGCTGGCTGGGTTTCATTGAGGATTTTCCCTTCGTTTTTAGTAAGTTCGTGAGGAGCAGGGCTATTTGGGTGAACGAAGGGATGGACTGGCGTAAAAGTTTGCGAAACCCAAGAAACTTTGCAAATGCTTCCTTGTGCGAGATGGTGCCCATTCTAGTACTGTGCTGACCTTCTTGGGGGCCCTTTCGATGCCCTGTGGGGATATGCGATAACCCAGGTAGTCTATTTTTTCCTGATGGAATTCGCACTTTGATAATTTGGCATATAGGTGGGCAGTTTGTAGTTTCTTTAAAACCATTCTGACTAGATTGACATGCTCCTCTTTGGATTCGGTGAAGATAAGGATATCATCTATATAAACTAGGACCCCCTTAAATAGGTACTCCTTTAGTACCTCATTGATTAATTGCATAAATACTGCAGGGACCTATTGTAGTGCAAACGGCAAAACTTTGAATTGGTAACATCCCATTGGACAATTAAATGCGGTTTTCCATTCATCCCCTCCCTTAATCCTAATGCGGTAATATGCTTCCCTTAGGTCTAGTTTAGTGAAAATTCTTCCTTTTGATAGGTATGATAACATGTCCTTCATGAGGGATAGGGACTATAGGTTACTTTTACTGATTGTATTAAGGGTGCAGTAATCCATGCACAAGTGCAAAGTGCCATCCATCTTCTCTCTAAAGAGAACCAGGGTGGCTCCCTTAGGCTTGGCAGATTCGATAAACTCCCTTGTTAGGTTTTTATTTATGAATCTTTCCATTTCTTCCTTCTCTTTAGGGCTCATAGAGTAAAGTCTGGGCTTCGGGTGTTTTGCCCCAGGCTTGAATTCTATGGTACAATCCGTGGGTTGGTGAGGGGGAAGCTCATCCACCCTCTCCTCACTGAAAACTTCAGCAAGGTCTCGGTATTCCTCCAGTATTTCAGGTAGCCCCTTTTCCTCTTCCAATGATGCTTTCTCCACTCCTGGGTTTGGTTTAAACCTCCTTGGGGGTTTAATTTGCACAATCCCCCTTTGGGAAATTGAATTTTGCCATCATCCAATTTATCCAGGGGTTCCATTTCTTTAGCCAGTCCAGCCCTAGAATCACTGGGAATTCCATGCCTGAAGTCACTACAAACATTATGTCTTCCTCGTGGTTCCCTGGGGATAGGTGGACTGGTAAAGTGGCTAGGATAGCAGGCACCCCCCCCCCTGCAATGGATCCATCTAACTGGCCAAATGAGATTGGTTTTTTCAATGTGCTTACCGGGATACCAAGGTTCCCCTCTAGGGTCAAGCTAATGAGGCAGCGGGTGCAGTCAGAGTCTATTAAGGCTTTCATTTTGACAGCTTCAGGGATGGAGAGGGCTAATATCTTGAGGATGGGTGCAATGGGTCCACTCACCAGGTGTTTGCCCTCCAAGCTGTCATCCAAGATGTCCACCGCCTCTGCGGTGTAGGCCAGAGTTCCCTCCCCATGTTTGGCAGGGGGTGGGAACTCCACAGCCTCTGTTGCCCTCATGGTGGGTTCTCTTGGCTTGGCTGGGGATTTTCCTGATTTCCTGGCCAGTGATTGGTCTGGGTTACGCTGAGGGGCTTTCGAGCAGCATTCTACAGCACAATGCCCCTCTCTCCTGTATTTGAAACAGCCCGTTGACTTCTTGGCCATAGCCGGTGGTTTCGCTGGCTTGCATGTCGGCTCAGGAGGTGAGCAGCTCCTTGGTTTTCCTCAGTGGTGCTTCTTCAGTAGGTCGATCTCTGTTGTCTCCACCAGGACATACCATTCATCAAATTGGCATGGGTCCCCTCAAGACAGGCAAATGTGATACAGGTCGTAGTTTAGGCCATCTTTGAAATGGCTAAGGAGGATGTCTTCTGGTCAGTTCAGCTTGTTGGCGATGGCCCAGAATTATTGTGAATATTTGGCTACCGGGTGTCTGCCCTGCCTCACCATTTTGATTCTCTAGTGGGCCTTTTAATCAGCCAGGGGGTCATTGAATCACCTTCTAAGAGAGGATATGAAGTGGTTGAAGTCATTGAGCTCTGGGGCATTGGAATCATGCAGGTTCACCATCCAGTCTGCGGTAGCCCCATCCAGAGCAGATTGCACGATACGGATACGGGTTTTGTTGCTGGGGATGTCCCATCCACTGGTGTTGTCTCCCATTCTGATCGCCATCTGTGAGTTGGCAGGGAGTGGGGGTTGCTGAAATGGTAGCTGCTGTCTCTGCAGACATCCCCAGGGCTACAATTTCCAATTCCCCCTCTCTCTGGTTGTAGCCCAAGATGTTGGTGCAGCCCCAGGATTCAGGATGCTCCTCCACGAGGGAGCTGAGGGTTCTTTTCATCAGGTCAATAGCTTTCTTTAGGATCCAGTTCAAGTGCTGTGTGCGACCTTCTTCCTCTTCGCTAAGGTGCAGGGATTTCTCCATCTCTTGCCTCCATCTGGGTTGGTGGCTGCCCTACCTCAGGGTAACTTTCCCCGATACTTTTCCCATTCATCTTTCTTGCCAATACCCACTGATCACCAAGGTTTGTGGTCATACGTTTCCACCACTTCTGCTTTTGAGGAGTATGACGTCTCGGTCCCTGCCAGAGGGAGAGCTCCACTTTCATGGTGGGCTCTTCATTCCCTGCCTCATCATCCGACATTGTAGTTTTTGCAAAGTCCCCCAGTAAGAGTCTTCCTCCAGGTTGACTATTACTGCAGATCCTGTCTAATGTAAGGACCCACTTCAATCCCACATCTTAAGAAAGCAGAACTCTTGGAGATGGTTTCCTCTAATAGGAACTTTTATTAAAAGTCATTGATAGCAGGCATAATAGACATGATCTGAGGGATCAATACTTTAAAGTGTTCCCAAGCAAACCTCACCCCACCATTCATCCAGACGGCTCAGACCGGCCAATCCCCAGGTGTTAAATCCACCGTGGGAAAGGAGAGTTAACATCGCTCTGGCTCCAGTCATAGCACGATGTTCAGGCAGCTCTTTGGACCTCCTTTTGAGACTGGAGAAATAAGCCAGGCTCTGTAGGTTGTATTTCTTCCCCCCCCCTTTTCCTGGCTGACAGGTTAGGGAGAAGAAAGTTCAAAGAGAGATGCATTGTAAGAAGCAAATTGTTACATTGTGGGCAGCGGACATGGAGGCAATAACAAAATAAAAGGTTACATTTAACGAATGGAGAAAGCAAAAGCAATAACCCCGCAGAGATATCCCCCCCCCTTGGGAGTATGGCAGAATCCAGGAAAAAGTGAGATTTGTTTTTAGATCAGAGGAGATAGATAGAAATGAAATAGAAATGGGTTCTGACAGTGACATCAAATTTAAAAACTGGGCCATGGCTTTATTTAGCCCAAGAAGCTCACATTTTGCAACGGAATCGCACAAGGCACATTTTGTAGCATTCATGTCATCATCAACTTTTTTGGTACAAACAAAGCATGTGTAGGAGTTATTATTTCCATCAATGGCCACTTGGGATGATGGGGAAGTACTGAACAAACTGTTTCGCATACAGTCTTCTTTGTACTCAACTATCGGGGCGGTGGCCACCTCTGGTTACTGTTCAGGCTACTGAATTTGTCCTGTACTGCCCAAGGACTCCTCCTGTCTCACAATTTGGGGGGGGGGGAGAATGATGGCAGTGATGGATGTATTCAGTTCATTTCTGTCATCTGCCAGTGTCCCAACCCAGAAGCTTCTCCCCAGTCTTTCCTTCCTGTTGTCTCACTTCATCTGACAATGCTTTGGGCCCTGTGCAAAAGGGAGCAGAGCCTTTGCTCTAAAGAGAGCCATTTGCGCACTTCCCTCTCCGAACCAGGCAGATTTTCTAATGCTCACAAAATGGCACGCATTTCAAACAGGCATATCAGTTGGCATTGTGATACTGGCAGAGCTCTGGGGTGGCAACTTCAGTTGCTGATTGAGCGCAGGCCATGGAAAGTGGGGAGAACCAGAGCAGTGTGGGCAACAGGGGAGGAAAGGACTTCTCTCTCTCCACCCTGTTTGTTTCACAACTCTCCAAAGCAAAGATAAACTAATCGCCTATCTATTTAGTCTTACTTACTTCAGGATTTTCGAGCAACATGTCAACATGGTTCAATGGGATAATATATCTCACAAGGTTTGTTCCCCAGGGCAGCCAAGAAGACCTGGGCTACAGATGGGCTGGATGGCTAGTTAGCTGGCTGAGCTGATTAGCCCAACAAGTTACAAACCTCACAATCTGTCACTCCCTGTCTTTTGCAAGTTTCCCATGGAGTTTCACTTGATGGGGGTTCAACTAATGTCTTCTTTGCACAT